TGAGGAACCGTTGGGGACGAAAAAGCTCAGCTAAGGAGGCGTGGGAGGCCATTGCGGCAATGCTGGCGTCCGGTTCCGACCAGCATAAAGAAAGCGACAGCCCACCACCAAGCAGGAGTACACAAACCTCAAGTTCAAGGATGATGAAACGGTGGAGGACTTTTCCTCCGCTGCGGGACAACTCATCGGCAAAAGTGAAGAGCCATGGCATCACCATCGGCGAAGAGGAGGCGGTCTCCAAATTCCTCCACTCTGTCTCGACAAAGTACATCCAGATCGCTCTCCATAGAGACGATGCTGGACTTATCCACCCTCACCATCGAGGATGTGGCGAGGGCCATCACGGGTGATGGACGAGCGCATGGGGCGGCGACAACAACGAAGGATAGCGACAAACTCCCTCGGCGGAAGAGGGTGGGCCGCTTGCTCGCGAAAGCTCCGGGAAGGCAGCCTCCTCCGATCGCGGTGGCAACGACAAACATCAGCGGCGGGGCTTCTTCGAAGAAGAAGCAAATCGACTCTAACGCCTATCGGGTGTTGCGGGAAGATGGGCCATTGGGCGCACGGAGTGCCCAAATCGCAAGAAGGAAAAGAAGGCTCAAGGCTCACCTAGCGAAAGTCGATGATGAGGATGAGGCCACTATCCTTATGGCGATGTTTGCATTAACTGCATGCGACGTCGAGGCCATGGAGAGGGAAGAGGCGGCGACGGTGGAAGGATCTATAAGGCCACGAAGACCGTTAACCTCCACGAACCACGCACCCAAGTCCATCTTGGGCATGTGGCGTCGACCAGGAGCGGCGGTGGTATCTCGGACTCGGTGCCGGTAACCACATGGCGAGCTCCAAGGACTCCTTCTCCGAGCTCGACGGTGATGTTTGCGGTACGGTGAAGTTTGGTGACGGCTCAAGGGTGGCTATCCAAGGCGCGGCACCATCATCTTCAAATACCGAATGGGGAGCACCGGCGCTAACGGATGTATACTACATCCGCGGTGCGTTCAGCATCATCAACATTGGTCGGTGGATGAGCGCGGTAGCGAGGTTACGATCAGGACGGCGTTCGAGGATCGAGAGACGGGAGCGGCGATTTCGCCAAGGTAAAGAGGTCTCTGAACCGGTTGTACACCGCTCGACCTGAAGGTAGAAGAGCCCGGTTTACTGGCGGCAAGGCACTCCGAGGAACCGTGGATGTGACATGCCCGGCTCGGACATCTCAACTTCGGCGCGCTTGGTCGGTGGGAAGATGGTCCGAGGCTACCCCACATCAAACACGGAGGTGAGTGTGTGGTACTGGGCGGGAAGCGAGGAGGCTACCTTTCCCAAAAGGCGGCCAAGTATCGCGAAGGAAGCTCTCGAGCTAGTTCACGGTGACCTCTACGGGCCAATCACACCGCTACATGCGGTGGTCGGTGGTACTTCCTCCACCTTTCGTGGGCGATGGCGGTCGCTACATGTGGTACGCAACTCTTGACGAAACAAGGGCGAAGCAGCGGTGGCGATCAAGAAGATCAAGCAGCTGCGAGGCCGAGAGCGGCAAGAAGCTCCGTGTCTTGAGGACTGATGGGGTGGCGAATTCACGCCGGTGGAGTCTCGCTACGTCTTTGCGCGGATCAAGGTGTGGGGCAACATCACGCCGCGCGTCGTACTCGCCACAGCATGAATGGCGTGGTGGGAGCGCGGAACCAGTGCGATGGTCGGCATGGCCCGTTCCATGATGAAGGCCAAAGGGATGCGGCAAAAAAGTTAGGGAGAGGCGGTGACCACGGCGGTGTTTATCCTCAACCGCGCTCCAAGCAAAGCCCTAACGGGCAAGACGCGTTTGAAGCTTGGTGCGGAGCAAGCCGAACATGTCATTCCTCCGGACATTCGGTTGCATCGCCACGTCGGGAAGACGAAGCCGAACCTCACCAAGCCGGAGGATGAGAGCACACCTATGGTGTTCTAGGCTACGCGGAGGGTACCAAGGCGTCTGGCTCTATGACCCCTGCGGAGACAAGGTATTTGTCTCACGCGATGTTGTGTTCAACGAGGAGGCAGCTTGGGACTGGCACAGTCCGAGCACGGGGGAAGCGGGAGGCTTCACCAACACCTTCGTCGTCGTCCAGAAGCAGTGCCGAGCACTTCAGGTGCTATGCAGGGCACTCCGGCGGAAGAAGGAACTCCATCACCCCCGATCGAGTTCGCCTCACCTCCAAGTGACATCATCGAAGTTCGTGGGCGCCTACCACGAAGGTGAGGAGTTGAGGTTCCAGTGAGTTGGGCGACATCGTCGGCGGCACGAGTCCCTCAGTCTGGGCGGGTGAGGCTGCTCAAGCGGCCGAGCTGCTACTCGTCGGTCTGCAGAGGAACCACCCGTTCGCGCTAGCCGAAAGCGCGATGGAAGCTGGCGACGGGCAATGCTGGAGGAGATGAAGGCGATCGAGGAAAGCGAGACTTGGCGACTTGTCGATCCACCCCGGTGATGCCGTCCGATCAGCCTGAAGTGGGTGTACAAAGTCAAAAGGGACGAGCTCGGCGCCATTGTCAAGTACAAGGAGCGCCTCGTCGCCCGAGGCTTTGTCCAGCACGAGGGCATCGACTTCGAGGAGGTCTTTGCACCAGTAGCGCGCATGGAGTCGGTCCGTTTGCTACTTGCTTTGGCGACGACCAAAGGGCGGCGCGTCCATCACGGGACGTTAAATCGGCCTTCCTCAACGGCGAGCTAAGCGGAAGCGGTCTTCGTCGAGGGCAACCTCCGAGGTTCGTTGTCAAGGGAGAGGAGCAGGGTGCTCCAATTGCGCAAAGCGCTCTACTGAGCCGCGGCAAGCCCCTCGAGCATGGAACGCTAAGCTTGACTGCACACCGCTGGCGAGCTTGGGTTTCAGAGATGCGCAATAACCGACGCGCGCTCTACACGCCGACGACGGGGAAGGAAGAACTCATGGTCGGCGTGTATGTGGATGACTTAATCGTCACCGCGCGCGCGGAGGATATCAACAGCTTCAAGCGAGACATGGCGGCTTCGTTTGAATAAGCGATCTCGGCGCTCTCTCCTACTACCTCGGCATCGAGGTGAGAGCAGAGGAAAGAGGAACTCACGCTTCGGGCTTAAAAAGCGTATGCCTCAAGCTGCATTGTTGGAGAGGCGGCATGGTGGAGTGCAAGCCATGCGTGACTCCGATGGAGGAAGCGGCTAAAAAGGCGGCGAAGACTGGCACCGCGGCGAAAGTAGATGCAACACTCTACCGGAGCATCGTCGACGTCTGCGCTTCTAGTCCACACAAGACCGGACATTCGTTCGTTATGGCTCGTCCATTCGCTTCATGGAGGATCCCGAGAGAGGATCACTTTGGGCTGCGGTGAAGCGGCTACTACGCCACGTCAAGGGATAGTGAATCATGAAATCATCTTCCCAAAAACCGGGAAAGTAGGCTGCAGCTCACGGTGTCGGCCCGATGCGGACATGGCGGGGACATCGACGGACGACGGAGCACCTCTGGCGTACTTTCGTCTTCCTCGGTCGGCCCCAATTTCATGGTTGTCGGTTGAAAGAAGGTGGTGGCGCTATCTACATGCGGCGAGAGCGTGGTGGCTGACCCGCAATGGCGTGCCAAGTTATGTGGCTACGCCGGGCTGGCACGGCGAAACTAACCGCGGAAGCTCACCCACCGCGCGATGGTGGACAACCAGCCGCCATCGCCCTCGCGAAGAATCCGGTTCTACGGCCGAGAGTAAACACATCGACGTGAAGTTCCACTTCTCGTGGACTGTGTTGATGGAGGGCGAGATCGTCATCGAGTTTGTCGAAACCGGTCGGCAACTTCATGGGCGTCCTCACCAAGCCGCTTCGGACGACCGACTCACGGAGGCTGAAGGAGATGATCGGCATGGAGGGGTTCAAGGGTTATGATAGGATTAGGGAAGATTGTTAGCTAATCTATTGCCACCTTGTGTGAAACAATGAGAGGAAGACGGCGCCGACTTTGCCCCTAACATGTCTGATGTAAGAGTATGCGTACGCGCGCATGACTCACACATTGCAGATTGTAGGCACATGCGTGGCGGCGCAGAGTCAGCACATATGCTTATCTGAATTCTTGTTATTCAGACATGTGACTTGTTGTACTTTAGTTAGATAGATAAAGTTGTATAAATAGAGCACCAAAGGCAACTCGATGAAAGAGAGCTCAGATTTGCCATCACCACAACCGGGGCCTCGACCAACGTTGTTGTCTTGTATTGTGCGTGCTTGCTCTATTCTCCTTCTTCTTTTAGCTCGATCCGTAGTGTGTGGGTGCGGACACAACCGGTATAGTGATTTGGAAGACTAGTGGTGCGATCTCGGAAGACTAGTGTAGTGCGATGCGAGAAACTAATGGTCTAGAAGACTAGTGGTCCGAATCTCAGAGACTAGTGGTTTGGAAGACTAGTGGTCTGAGACTACTGGTCTGGAGACTAGTTCACTATCATCTGGACGGTGATCCCGTGGGCCAACAAACAGTACATGTCATTCAAGATCATTCAGTTACCAGCACAAGCCCTGCAACCTTCCCAGATTGTCCAGGCACCAAACAAGCAAAACACGACGGCCTAGAATACATGTATGATGATATGGTACTTCACATAAAGCACAGGTGCAGTGATATCCAGAAACAAAACAGATGGAACAAGGTTCTTCGGTTCATGCCGCCATACCAGGGCAGTCCTACCAACTACATTATACACACAAATGGCCAGGGAGCTCTCCGCTGCCTAGTAGGCTGGCAGGTGTGCAGTAACATACCAGAATCATATGCTCCTGGGCTCCTGGCATAAGGCTCATCAGCTGCTGAGTTCCCATACCCATCAAGGCAGCCCTACCAACTACTTACACAAGATGTCTTAAGAGTTCTCCACTTGCTGAACGCAGATGCAGTAACATCCCAGAATCATAACCAGCATAAGTTTCGCCAGTTTCGGCAAAATACACCAAAAGACAGCCCTAGATAGCACTAAGCATGTGACGCAGGTGGTGTGCCTCACCACGGTGATGCGGTAGCGCTGCTGAAGCGCTGCTCGAGCTTGCTAACTTCTGTTTTCAGCCTCGAGATCTCCGAGGCATCACTTAGCTCCTGTGAAATAGCAGACTGCATCATGCGGCGGAAGAGACAAACCTGCAGTTCAAGCTGACGGACAGTCATATTTAGCACACCGATCTGTGTGCGCCTCTGAGTCTCTTCGTGAGAGAACTTCTCCTCCAGATCTTTAATTGTGCCCTGCAGATTGGCACGCCCCTTCTTTATGCGCAGCAATGTTTCCAGGCGTGATCGCAGGTGCTCCACGTCGAACCCATCAGCTTCCAGCAAAGAAACGCCCTTCATCTTCTCTTCGAACACTGCATCATCATCCTCAATGCATAGCCTCTTTACGCTCTCTGCCAGATTGGCGAAAGAGAGCATCAGACCCAATGCCATTCCTTCACGGAGCTCTGGAACGTGCTGCTGGCACTTGTGAAAGTTTGGTCGTTGCGGCACTTTACGGAAAACTTCCATTGCCTCAATCTGTGCCCACAACGGGGAGGTCTTCACGAATGGAATTTCCTCAACATCCGAGGAATCTGAAGGCTGTTCAGCTACGATGCTCTCCTGGACATCACGAGATCCCTGCAGCAAGGAGTCACTAGAGCTGTGTGTTCTGCTTGGAACAAACTTGGACATTGGCGTACCCTCAGAACCTTTTGGTGCGGCCACTGTATCACCAGGTTGTGCTTCAGTAGAGTTACTCGTACCGATAGAAGACAACTGTGTTATTTCTGAATTCTCGGTGGACTGGCCACCTTCAGCTGCATACCTCAGCATGGCACCTTTTGGTGCAATCAATGTATCACCAGGTTCTGCTTCAGTAGAGTTGCTCGTACCAATAGAAGACAACTGTGTTATTTCTGAATTCTCGATGGATTTGCTACCTTCAGCTGAATACCTCACCATGGCACCTTTTGGTGCAATCAATGTATCATCAGGTCGTGCTTCAGTAGAGTTGCTCGTGCCGATAGAAGATAATTGTACTATTTCTGAATTCTCGATGGATTGGATACCTTCAGCTGCATCCCTCACCATGGCTGAAGTATGATCCTGTTTCGCATTCCATGTTCCTCATGAGCT